CTCCTGCCCACACCCTCACCTCCTGCCCACACCCTCACCTCCTGCCCACACCCTCACCTCCTGCCCACACCCTCACCTCCTGCCCACACCCTCACCTCCTGCCCACACCCTCACCTCCTGCCCACACCCTCACCTCCTGCCCACACCCTCACCTCCTGCCCACACCCTCACCTCCTGCCCACACCCTCACCTCCTGCCCACACCCCCACCTCCTGCCTCACACCCTCACCTCCTGCCTCACACCCTCACCTCCTGCCCACACCCTCACCTCCTGCCCACACCCTCACCTCCTGCCCACACCCTCACCTCCTGCCCACACCCACACCTCCTGCCCACACCCTCACCTCCTGCCCACACCCTCACCTCCTGCCCACACCCTCACCTCCTGCCCACACCCTCACCTCCTGCCCACACCCTCACCTCCTGCCCACACCCTCACCTCCTGCCCACACCCTCACCTCCTGCCCACACCCTCACCTCCTGCCCACACCCTCACCTCCTGCCCACACCCTCACCTCCTGCCCACACCCACACCTCCTGCCCACACCCTCACCTCCTGCCCACACCCTCACCTCCTGCCCACACCCTCACCTCCTGCCCACACCCTCACCTCCTGCCCACACCCTCACCTCCTGCCCACACCCACACCTCCTGCCCACACCCTCACCTCCTGCCCACACCCTCACCTCCTGCCCACACCCTCACCTCCTGCCCACACCCTCACCTCCTGCCCACACCCTCACCTCCTGCCCACACCCTCACCTCCTGCCCACACCCTCACCTCCTGCCCACACCCTCACCTCCTGCCCACACCCTCACCTCCTGCCCACACCCTCACCTCCTGCCCACACCCTCACCTCCTGCCCACACCCTCACCTCCTGCCCACACCCTCACCTCCTGCCCACACCCTCACCTCCTGCCCACACCCTCACCTCCTGCCCACCCTCACCCACACCTGCCCACACCCTCACCTCCTGCCCACACCCTCACCTCCTGCCCACACCCTCACCTCCTGCCCACACCCTCACCTCCTGCCCACACCCTCACCTCCTGCCCACACCCTCACCTCCTGCCCACACCCTCACCTCCTGCCCCACACCCTCACCTCCTGCCCACACCCTCACCTCCTGCCCACACCCTCACCTCCTGCCCACACCCTCACCTCCTGCCCACACCCTCACCTCCTGCCCACACCCTCACCTCCTGCCCACACCCTCACCTCCTGCCCACACCCTCACCTCCTGCCCACACCCTCACCTCCTGCCCACACCCTCACCTCCACCCTCACCTCCTGCCCACACCCTCACCTCCTGCCCACACCCTCACCTCCTGCCCACACCCTCACCTCCTGCCCACACCCTCACCTCCTGCCCACACCCTCACCTCCTGCCCACACCCACACCTCCTGCCCACACCCTCACCTCCTGCCCACACACCTCCTGCCCCCTCACCTCCTGCCCACACCCTCACCTCCTGCCCACACCCTCACCTCCTGCCCACACCTCACCTCCTGCCCACACCTCACCTCCTGCCCACACCCTCACTCTGCCCCACTCCTCACCTCCCACACCCTCACCTCCTGCCCACACCCACACAATAAGCAAGAATTCACACATGAATAATATCCTTTTTGTCTGAGGCAAATAAACCCATACAGGACAAAGCTGAATTTTTTTTCTGAAGGCTTGCCACTGTGCTCTTAGTTACAGCTTAAGCTGAGTAGCGTGTTCATACAGCCCGTCCTCCTATAGCTTGCCACTGTGCTCTTAGTTACAGCTTAAGCTGAGTAGCGTGTTCATACAGCCCGTCCTCCTATAGCTTGCCACTGTGCTCTTAGTTACAGCTTAAGCTGAGTAGCGTGTTCATACAGCCCGTCCTCCTATAGCTTGCCACTGTGCTCTTAGTTACAGCTTAAGCAGAGTAGCGTGTTCATACAGCCCGTCCTCCTATAGCTTGCCACTGTGCTCTTAGTTACAGCTTAAGCAGAGTAGCGTGTTCATACAGCCCGTCCTCCTATAGCTTGCCACTGTGCTCTTAGTTACAGCTTAAGCTGAGTAGCGTGTTCATACAGCCCGTCCTCCTATAGCTTGCCACTGTGCTCTTAGTTACAGCTTAAGCAGAGTAGCGTGTTCATACAGCCCGTCCTCCTATAGCTTGCCACTGTGCTCTTAGTTACAGCTTAAGCAGAGTAGCGTGTTCATACAGCCCGTCCTCCTATAGCTTGCCACTGTGCTCTTAGTTACAGCTTAAGCTGAGTTGCGTGTTCATACAGCCCGTCCTCCTATAGCTTGCCACTGTGCTCTTAGTTACAGCTTAAGCTGAGTAGCGTGTTCATACAGCCCGTCCTCCTATAGCTTGCCACTGTGCTCTTAGTTACAGCTTAAGCTGAGTAGCGTGTTCATACAGCCCGTCCTCCTATAGCTTGCCACTGTGCTCTTAGTTACAGCTTAAGCTGAGTAGCGTGTTCATACAGCCCGTCCTCCTATAGCTTGCCACTGTGCTCTTAGTTACAGCTTAAGCTGAGTAGCGTGTTCATACAGCCCGTCCTCCTATAGCTTGCCACTGTGCTCTTAGTTACAGCTTAAGCTGAGTAGCGTGTTCATACAGCCCGTCCTCCTATAGCTTGCCACTGTGCTCTTAGTTACAGCTTAAGCTGAGTAGCGTGTTCATACAGCCCGTCCTCCTATAGCTTGCCACTGTGCTCTTAGTTACAGCTTAAGCTGAGTAGCGTGTTCATACAGCCCGTCCTCCTATAGCTTGCCACTGTGCTCTTAGTTACAGCTTAAGCTGAGTAGCGTGTTCATACAGCCCGTCCTCCTATAGCTTGCCACTGTGCTCTTAGTTACAGCTTAAGCTGAGTAGCGTGTTCATACAGCCCGTCCTCCTATAGCTTGCCACTGTGCTCTTAGTTACAGCTTAAGCTGAGTAGCGTGTTCATACAGCCCGTCCTCCTATAGCTTGCCACTGTGCTCTTAGTTACAGCTTAAGCTGAGTAGCGTGTTCATACAGCCCGTCCTCCTATAGCTTGCCACTGTGCTCTTAGTTACAGCTTAAGCTGAGTAGCGTGTTCATACAGCCCGTCCTCCTATAGCTTGCCACTGTGCTCTTAGTTACAGCTTAAGCTGAGTAGCGTGTTCATACAGCCCGTCCTCCTATAGCTTGCCACTGTGCTCTTAGTTACAGCTTAAGCAGAGTAGCGTGTTCATACAGCCCGTCCTCCTATAGCTTGCCACTGTGCTCTTAGTTACAGCTTAAGCTGAGTAGCGTGTTCATACAGCCCGTCCTCCTATAGCTTGCCACTGTGCTCTTAGTTACAGCTTAAGCAGAGTAGCGTGTTCATACAGCCCGTCCTCCTATAGCTTGCCACTGTGCTCTTAGTTACAGCTTAAGCTGAGTAGCGTGTTCATACAGCCCGTCCTCCTATAGCTTGCCACTGTGCTCTTAGTTACAGCTTAAGCTGAGTAGCGTGTTCATACAGCCCGTCCTCCTATAGCTTGCCACTGTGCTCTTAGTTACAGCTTAAGCAGAGTAGCGTGTTCATACAGCCCGTCCTCCTATAGCTTGCCACTGTGCTCTTAGTTACAGCTTAAGCTGAGTAGCGTGTTCATACAGCCCGTCCTCCTATAGCTTGCCACTGTGCTCTTAGTTACAGCTTAAGCTGAGTAGCGTGTTCATACAGCCCGTCCTCCTATAGCTTGCCACTGTGCTCTTAGTTACAGCTTAAGCTGAGTAGCGTGTTCATACAGCCCGTCCTCCTATAGCTTGCCACTGTGCTCTTAGTTACAGCTTAAGCTGAGTAGCGTGTTCATACAGCCCGTCCTCCTATAGCTTGCCACTGTGCTCTTAGTTACAGCTTAAGCTGAGTAGCGTGTTCATACAGCCCGTCCTCCTATAGCTTGCCACTGTGCTCTTAGTTACAGCTTAAGCTGAGTAGCGTGTTCATACAGCCCGTCCTCCTATAGCTTGCCACTGTGCTCTTAGTTACAGCTTAAGCTGAGTAGCGTGTTCATACAGCCCGTCCTCCTATGGTTTCCCAACGTCAGGAAACTGTCGTATTAAAGTGCCCTAACCCTAACCTGCCAGTTTAACGTGCAAGAGGTGACAGGAGTGACGCAGGGGCTCGGCAGGGATGCTGCTACTGGGATAACTGACATTATCCAGGCGTGTCTGTCAAGACGAGATGGCTTCCTGATACTTTAATCTTGCAGCAAACAGATCCCTGTTGCAAGGTGTGTGTTTGACATGGTTGGGGCTCGGCCCTGGACCTGTCCGTCATGCTTAACGTACAGAGGCCTGGCAAGTGTTGTGTACCACATTACCTTTAGTTTATGCACACTGAAATTACTATACCGTGATGGGGGCTATGAGGAAATGTTGAGGCTATGTGGTGGGTTCGAACTCGTGTCCCTGGAGGCCCCAGACGCGCGCGCTACCGACTGAACCATCATGACCTGGGAGTGTCCACTGGAGGAGGTAGCGGACTAGGAGCGAGGAAGGCAGGGTCCGGGGCCACGATACTTCACATTGTCTTGCTTCACTTTATAATAACATTTATTTTCAGTTTTAAATTGAGTTATTTCTTGTCTCCACTTTTCTTCATAGTTTATATTTAGCTCAAATACAAAATATATCAATTTAATCCTATTTATTCCATGTCATAATAGACCAAGTTTTTTTTATTTTACATTGAATAATTATTATTATAATATGGCCTGTGTGTGTGTGTGTGTGTGTGTGTGTGTGTGTGTGTGTGTGTGTGTGTGTGTGTGTGTGTGTACTCACCTATATGTGCTTGCAGGATCGAGCATTGACTCTTGGATCCCGCCTAGTGTGTGTGTGTGTGTGTGTGTGTGTGTGTGTGTGTGTGTGTGTGTGTGTGTGTGTGTGTGTGTGTGCCTCCTGCTGGCCCGTAACTACGGCGCCAGTTTCGCTATCATTATCAGGTCACAAAACCTCTTCGGTGACACGAGTGTTAAGTGATCCGCTCGCCTGGCGTTAGCCTTGTACGGTGCTGGTGCCGCTGGTGGCGCCAGACACGGTGCTGGTGCCGCTGGTGGCGCCAGACACGGTGCTGGTGCCGCTGGTGGCGCCAGACACGGTGCTGGTGCCGCTGGTGCCGCCAGACACGGTGCTGGTGCCGCTGGTGCCGCCAGACACGGTGCTGGTGCCGCTGGTGCCGCCAGACACGGTGCTGGTGCCGCTGGTGGCGCCAGACACGGTGCTGGTGCCGCTAGTGGCGCCAGACACGGTGCCGGTGCCGCTGGTGGCGCCAGACACGGTGCTGGTGCCGCTGGTGGCGCCAGACACGGTGCTGGTGCCGCTGGTGGCGCCAGACACGGTGCTGGTGCCGCTGGTGCCGCCAGACACGGTGCTGGTGCCGCTGGTGGCGCCAGACACGGTGCTGGTGCCGCTGGTGGCGCCAGACACGGTGCTGGTGCCGCTGGTGGCGCCAGACACGGTGCTGGTGCCGCTGGTGGCGCCAGACACGGTGCTGGTGCCGCTGGTGCCGCCAGACACGGTGCTGGTGCCGCTGGTGGCGCCAGACACGGTGCCGCTGGTGCCGCTGGTGGCGCCAGACACGGTGCCCGTGCCGCTGGTGGCACCTGACACGGTGCTGGTGCCGCTGGTGCCGCCAGACACGGTGCTGGTGCCGCTGGTGGCGCCAGACACGGTGCTGGTGCCGCTGGTGGCGCCAGACACGGTGCTGGTGCCGCTGGTGGCGCCAGACACGGTGCCGGTGCCGCTGGTGGCGCCAGACACGGTGCTGGTGCCGCTGGTGGCGCCAGACACGGTGCTGGTGCCGCTGGTGGCGCCAGACACGGTGCTGGTGCCGCTGGTGGCGCCAGACACGGTGCCCGTGCCGCTGGTGGCGCCAGACACGGTGCCCGTGCCGCTGGTGGCGCCAGACACGGTGCCCGTGCCGCTGGTGGCGCCAGACACGGTGCCCGTGCCGCTGGTGGCGCCAGACACGGTGCTGGTGCAGCTGGTGGCGCCAGACACGGTGCCCGTGCCGCTGGTGGCGCCAGACACGGTGCCGGTGCCGCTGGTGGCGCCAGACACGGTGCCGGTGCCGCTGGTGGCGCCAGACACGGTGCCCGTGCCGCTGGTGGCGCCAGACACGGTGCCGGTGCCGCTGGTGGCGCCAGACACGGTGCCCGTGCCGCTGGTGGCGCCAGACACGGTGCCCGTGCCGCTGGTGGCGCCAGACACGGTGCCCGTGCCGCTGGTGGCGCCAGACACGGTGCCCGTGCCGCTGGTGGCGCCAGACACGGTGCTGGTGCCGCTGGTGGCGCCAGACACGGTGCCCGTGCCGCTGGTGGCGCCAGACACGGTGCCGGTGCCGCTGGTGGCGCCAGACACGGTGCCCGTGCCGCTGGTGGCGCCAGACACGGTGCCCGTGCCGCTGGTGGCGCCAGACACGGTGCCCGTGCCGCTGGTGGCGCCAGACACGGTGCCCGTGCCGCTGGTGGCGCCAGACACGGTGCCCGTGCCGCTGGTGGCGCCAGACACGGTGCTGGTGCCGCTGGTGGCGCCAGACACGGTGCTGGTGCAGCTGGTGGCACCAGACACGGTGCTGGTGCCGCTGGTGGCACCAGACACGGTGCTGGTGCCGCTGGTGGCACCAGACACGGTGCTGGTGCCGCTGGTGGCGCCAGACACGGTGCTGGTGCAGCTGGTGGCACCAGACACGGTGCTGGTGCCGCTGGTGGCACCAGACACGGTGCTGGTGCCGCTGGTGGCGCCAGACACGGTGCTGGTGCCGCTGGTGGCACCAGACACGGTGCTGGTGCCGCTGGTGGCGCCAGACACGGTGCTGGTGCAGCTGGTGGCACCAGACACGGTGCTGGTGCCGCTGGTGGCACCAGACACGGTGCTGGTGCCGCTGGTGGCACCAGACACGGTGCTGGTGCCGCTGGTGGCGCCAGACACGGTGCTGGTGCCGCTGGTGGCGCCAGACACGGTGCTGGTGCAGCTGGTGGCGCCAGACACGGTGCCCGTGCCGCTGGTGGCACCAGACACGGTGCTGGTGCCGCTGGTGGCGCCAGACACGGTGCCGGTGCAGCTGGTGGCACCAGACACGGTGCTGGTGCCGCTGGTGGCACCAGACACGGTGCTGGTGCCGCTGGTGGCACCAGACACGGTGCTGGTGCCGCTGGTGGCGCCAGACACGGTGCTGGTGCCGCTGGTGGCACCAGACACGGTGCTGGTGCCGCTGGTGGCACCAGACACGGTGCTGGTGCAGCTGGTGGCACCAGACACGGTGCTGGTGCCGCTGGTGGCACCAGACACGGTGCTGGTGCCGCTGGTGCCGCCAGACACGGTGCTGGTGCCGCTGGTGGCACCAGACACGGTGCTGGTGCCGCTGGTGGCGCCAGACACGGTGCTGGTGCAGCTGGTGGCGCCAGACACGGTGCCCGTGCCGCTGGTGGCGCCAGACACGGTGCCCGTGCCGCTGGTGGCGCCAGACACGGTGCTGGTGCCGCTGGTGGCGCCAGACACGGTGCTGGTGCAGCTGGTGGCACCAGACACGGTGCTGGTGCCGCTGGTGGCACCAGACACGGTGCTGGTGCCGCTGGTGGCACCAGACACGGTGCTGGTGCCGCTGGTGGCGCCAGACACGGTGCTGGTGCAGCTGGTGGCACCAGACACGGTGCTGGTGCCGCTGGTGGCACCAGACACGGTGCTGGTGCCGCTGGTGGCGCCAGACACGGTGCTGGTGCCGCTGGTGGCACCAGACACGGTGCTGGTGCCGCTGGTGGCGCCAGACACGGTGCTGGTGCAGCTGGTGGCGCCAGACACGGTGCTGGTGCCGCTGGTGGCACCAGACACGGTGCTGGTGCCGCTGGTGGCGCCAGACACGGTGCTGGTGCCGCTGGTGGCGCCAGACACGGTGCTGGTGCAGCTGGTGGCGCCAGACACGGTGCCGGTGCAGCTGGTGGCGCCAGACACGGTGCTGGTGCCGCTGGTGGCGCCAGACACGGTGCCGGTGCAGCTGGTGGCACCAGACACGGTGCTGGTGCCGCTGGTGGCACCAGACACGGTGCTGGTGCCGCTAGTGGCACCAGACACGGTGCTGGTGCCGCTGGTGGCGCCAGACACGGTGCTGGTGCCGCTGGTGGCACCAGACACGGTGCTGGTGCCGCTGGTGGCACCAGACACGGTGCTGGTGCAGCTGGTGGCACCAGACACGGTGCTGGTGCCGCTGGTGGCACCAGACACGGTGCTGGTGCCGCTGGTGGCGCCAGACACGGTGCTGGTGCCGCTGGTGGCACCAGACACGGTGCTGGTGCCGCTGGTGGCGCCAGACACGGTGCTGGTGCAGCTGGTGGCGCCAGACAGCGTCCACGAGCGTCTTAAAGTCTAAGGAGACTATAATTCTGTCAACGTACAGAAGATTGGAATTGTATCACATGTCTTGGGATAGTTGAGAGAGACCACATGTGTGAGTAATATGTGGCCTCATGACTGTGTGTGTGAGTAATGTGTGGCCTCATGACAGTGTGTGTGAGTAATATGTGGCCTCATGACTGTGTGTGTGAGTAATATGTGGCCTCATGACTGTGTATGTGAGTAATATGTGGCCTCATCAGTCAGTGTGTGAGTAATATGTGGCCTCATCAGTGTGTGAGTAATATGTGGCCTCATGAGTCAGTGTGTGAGTAATATGTGGCCTCATGAGTCAGTGTGTGAGTAATATGTGGCCTCATCAGTCAGTGTGTGAGTAATATGTGGCCTCATCAGTCAGTGTGTGAGTAATATGTGGCCTCATGACTGTGTGTGTGAGTAATATGTGGCCTCATCAGTCAGTGTGTGAGTAATATGTGGCCTCATGACTGTGTGTGTGAGTAATATGTGGCCTCATCAGTCAGTGTGTGAGTAATATGTGGCTTCATGAGTCAGTGTGTGAGTAATATGTGGCCTCATCAGTCAGTGTGTGAGTAATATGTGACCTCATCAGTCAGTGTGTGAGTAATATGTGGCCTCATCAGTCAGTGTGTGAGTAATATGTGGCCTCATGACTGTGTGTGTGAGTAATATGTGGCCTCATCAGTCAGTGTGTGAGTAATATGTGGCTTCATGAGTCAGTGTGTGAGTAATATGTGGCCTCATTAGTCAGTGTGTGAGTAATATGTGGCTTCATGAGTCAGTGTGTGAGTAATATGTGGCCTCATGAGTCTGTGTGTGAGTAATATGTGGCCTCATGAGTCAGTGTGTGAGTAATATGTGGCTTCATGAGTCAGTGTGTGAGTAATATGTGGCTTCATGAGTCAGTGTGTGAGTAATATGTGGCCTCATCAGTCAGTGTGTGAGTAATATGTGGCTTCATGAGTCAGTGTGTGAGTAATATGTGGCTTCATGAGTCAGTGTGTGAGTAATATGTGGCCTCATGAGTCAGTGTGTGAGTAATATGTGGCATCATGAGTCAGTGTGTGAGTAATATGTGGCCTCATGACTGTGTGTGTGAGTAATATGTGGCCTCATCAGTCAGTGTGTGAGTAATGTGGCTTCATGAGTCAGTGTGTGAGTAATATGTGGCCTCATGAGTCTGTGTGTGAGTAATATGTGGCTTCATGAGTCAGTGTGTGAGTAATATGTGGCCTCATGAGTCTGTGTGTGAGTAATATGTGGCTTCATGAGTCAGTGTGTGAGTAATATGTGGCCTCATGACTGTGTGTGTGAGTAATATGTGGCCTCATCAGTCAGTGTGTGAGTAATATGTGGCCTCATGAGTCAGTGTGTGAGTAATATGTGGCCTCATGAGTCTGTGTGTATACACTGTGTATTGAATTCACCTAGTTGTGTTTGCGGGGGTTGAGCTCTGCTCTTTCGGCCCGCCTCTCAACTGTCAATCAACTGTTTACTAACTACTATTTTTTTTCCACACCGCACACACACACACACACACACACACACACACACACACACACACACACACACACCAGGAAGCAGCCCGTGACAGCTGACTAACTCCCAGGTACCTAGAAAGAAACTTTGTCCATTTGTTTCTGCCAGGTGTGAGAATCGAACCCGCGCCACAGAATTACGTGTCCTGCGAGCTATCCACCGGGCTACCAGGCCCCCGACCAGTGTGTGTAGAGCAGGCATGTGAGGGCCTCGCTCACCCGTGAGGCACAACTACTCACCATCACTCATCATTATCACTCATCATTATCACTCATCATTATCACTCACCATTATCACTCACCATTATCACTCACCATTATCACTCACCATTATCACTCACCATTATCACTCACCATTATCACTCACCATTATCACTCACCATTATCACTCACCATTATCACTCACCATCACTCACCATCACTCACCATCACTCACCATCACTCACCACCATCACTCACCACCATCACTCACCACCATCACTCACCACCATCACTCATTATCACTCACCACCATCACTCACCACCATCACTCATCATCACTCACCACCATCACTCACCACCATCACTCATTATCACTCACCACCATCACTCACCACCATCACTCATCATCACTCACCATCACTCACCTGTAGTTAGTGTTAACTACAGAAACAAGATGTCGTTCTGTGGCGGTAATTCAGGGTTAATTATGTCGTTTAACTGTACACACAACACTTGTTCATGGCTGGTGCCAGAGTCGTGGTGCCAGAGTCGTGTTGCCTGGCTGTCACGAGCTGTCACGCCTGGCTGTCACCAGCTGTCACGCCTGGCTGTCACGAGCTGTCACGCCTGGCTGTCACGAGCTGTCATGGCTGGCTGTCACCAGCTGTGTTGCCTGGCTGTCACGAGCTGTGTTGCCTGGCTGTCACCAGCTGTCATGCCTGGCTGTCACCAGCTGTCACGCCTGGCTGTCACGAGCTGTCATGCCTGGCTGTCACGAGCTGTCATGTCTGGCTGTCACCAGCTGTGTTGCCTGGCTGTCACGAGCTGTGTTGCCTGGCTGTCACCAGCTGTGTTGCCTGGCTGTCACCAGCTGTCATGCCTGGCTGTCACGAGCTGTCACGCCTGGCTGTCACGAGCTGTCATGCCTGGCTGTCACGAGCTGTCATGCCTGGCTGTCACGAGCTGTCACGCCTGGCTGTCACGAGCTGTCATGCCTGGCTGTCACGAGCTGTCACGCCTGGCTGTCACGAGCTGTCATGCCTGGCTGTCACGAGCTGTCATGCCTGGCTGTCACGAGCTGTGATGCCTGGCTGTCACCAGCTGTCATGCCTGGCTGTCACGAGCTGTCATGCCTGGCTGTCACGAGCTGTCACGCCTGGCTGTCACGAGCTGTCATGCCTGGCTGTCACGAGCTGTGTTGCCTGGCTGTCACCAGCTGTCATGCCTGGCTGTCACGAGCTGTCACGCCTGGCTGTCACGAGCTGTCATGCCTGGCTGTCACGAGCTGTCACGCCTGGCTGTCACGAGCTGTGTTGCCTGGCTGTCACGAGCTGTGTTGCCTGGCTGTCACGAGCTGTGTTGCCTGGCTGTCACGAGCTGTCATGCCTGGCTGTCACGAGCTGTCATGCCTGGCTGTCACGAGCTGTCATGCCTGGCTGTCACGAGCTGTCATGCCTGGCTGTCACCAGCTGTGTTGCCTGGCTGTCACGAGCTGTGTTGCCTGGCTGTCACCAGCTGTCATGCCTGGCTGTCACCAGCTGTCATGCCTGGCTGTCACCAGCTGTCACGCCTGGCTGTCACCAGCTGTCACGCCTGGCTGTCACGAGCTGTCATGCCTGGCTGTCACGAGCTGTCATGTCTGGCTGTCACCAGCTGTGTTGCCTGGCTGTCACGAGCTGTGTTGCCTGGCTGTCACCAGCTGTGTTGCCTGGCTGTCACCAGCTGTCATGCCTGGCTGTCACCAGCTGTCATGCCTGGCTGTCACTAGCTGTCATGCCTGGCTGTCACGAGCTGTCATGCCTGGCTGTCACGAGCTGTCATGCCTGGCTGTCACGAGCTGTGTTGCCTGGCTGTCACGAGCTGTCATGCCTGGCTGTCACGAGCTGTCATGCCTGGCTGTCACGAGCTGTCATGCCTGGCTGTCACGAGCTGTCACGCCTGGCTGTCACGAGCTGTCACGCCTGGCTGTCACGAGCTGTCACGCCTGGCTGTCACGAGCTGTCACGCCTGGCTGTCACGAGCTGTCACGCCTGGCTGTCACGCCTGGCTGTCACGAGCTGTCATGCCTGGCTGTCACGAGCTGTCATGCCTGGCTGTCACGAGCTGTCATGCCTGGCTGTCACCAGCTGTGTTGCCTGGCTGTCACCAGCTGTCATGCCTGGCTGTCACCAGCTGTCATGCCTGGCTGTCACCAGCTGTCACGCCTGGCTGTCACGAGCTGTCATGCCTGGCTGTCACGAGCTGTCATGTCTGGCTGTCACCAGCTGTGTTGCCTGGCTGTCACGAGCTGTGTTGCCTGGCTGTCACTAGCTGTGTTGCCTGGCTGTCACCAGCTGTCATGCCTGGCTGTCACCAGCTGTCATGCCTGGCTGTCACTAGCTGTCATGCCTGGCTGTCACCAGCTGTCATGCCTGGCTGTCACGAGCTGTCATGCCTGGCTGTCACGAGCTGTGTTGCCTGGCTGTCACCAGCTGTCATGCCTGGCTGTCACCAGCTGTCATGCCTGGCTGTCACCAGCTGTCATGCCTGGCTGTCACGAGCTGTCATGCCTGGCTGTCACGAGCTGTGTTGCCTGGCTGTCACGAGCTGTCATGCCTGGCTGTCACGAGCTGTGTTGCCTGGCTGTCACCAGCTGTCATGCCTGGCTGTCACCAGCTGTCATGCCTGGCTGTCACCAGCTGTCATGCCTGGCTGTCACGAGCTGTATTGCCTGGCTGTCACGAGCTGTCATGCCTGGCTGTCACCAGCTGTCATGCCTGGCTGTCACGAGCTGTCATGCCTGGCTGTCACGAGCTGTGTTGCCTGGCTGTCACCAGCTGTGTTGCCTGGCTGTCACGAGCTGTGTTGCCTGGCTGTCACGAGCTGTGTTGCCTGGCTGTCACGAGCTGTGTTGCCTGGCTGTCACGAGCTGTGTTGCCTGGCTGTCACGCCTGGCTGTCACGAGCTGTGTTGCCTGGCTGTCACGCCTGGCTGTCACGAGCTGTGTTGCCTGGCTGTCACGAGCTGTGTTGCCTGGCTGTCACGAGCTGTCATGCCTGGCTGTCACGAGCTGTGTTCCCTGGCTGTCACGAGCTGTGTTGCCTGGCTGTCACGAGCTGTCATGCCTGGCTGTCACGAGCTGTCATGCCTGGCTGTCACGAGCTGTGTTGCCTGGCTGTCACGAGCTGTGTTGCCTGGCTGTCACGAGCTGTGTTGCCTGGCTGTCACGAGCTGTGTTGCCTGGCTGTCACGAGCTGTGTTGCCTGGCTGTCACGAGCTG